CGCCCCACATCTCCCCCCCGCCCCTGGGGGACCATCCATGAGCTCCCCAGGGATGGAGGACTGGGGCCCAGCTGGGCCCCGCAGTGTCCGCCACAGGGGGCTCTGGCTGAGTGTCACAGGATTCTGAACATGCTGGTTCGTGCCCCCATGCTTTGGGATCAGAGACAAGGCAGGGTCTGCACAGGAGGAAGGAGGGTGAAGCACCCAGGAGACTGAGTATGACACTGCTGGGGGAGCTTGGGTGCTGGCCCCTCGGTGTCCCAGCCCATGCAGAACAACAGCGGATAGAAACCCCCAGGAATTTAGTTCTTGGCTGTGGGAAGCCGTCTCCGTGTCCCACAGCAGTCCCCCACCCCAGAGCCAGCCCCTTGACAGCAGATGTGGTTTCGACAACTTGCTGGTGACAAAACCAGGGGCCAGCCCCCACACCCCATTCCCCAGCAGTGCCAAGGCTGGGAGCCAGTGTGGGCACAGCAACAGGGCAGAAACAGCCACCTGAGTTACAGACCCTGGTAAGGCTTGGAAAAAAGTCGCTAAACTCCCAATGAGTTTTATTATCCGTTCCCAGCACAGCAGGAAGGTGACAGGAACAGAAGTGTTATCTTAGAGACCTGGCAAGTGCAATCCATTCCCAGCCTCCTGCTGGGATGAGGCCAGTGTCTGCATCCTCCCTCCAGCAACCATGAGTGTCCAATGGGCAGTGATGAGCCAGGCAGCCCCCTTGGCAGCTGCCATCTCCTCTGACACCTTTCTGCTCCCACCAACACTAACTAGCTTAGCTCTGGATGCTACAGGGTTAAAGAGGTGGGCAGGATATGCAGATGGGTGCTTGGTCATCATCTATACAATATCCTTCCCCTGGGAGAGATGAAAGGAGGAACCATGGCCCTGCCCTGCTGCAGGGAAGACGATAAAGAAAAACCCAGGGCCGTGTCTCTGTTTCCAGGGCTCTTATTTCGGTGTTTGGCACAACACTGCAATGTGGTTTTACCCAAAAGAAAACTCAAGAGGATGCAGCATGGCACTGGGGCTCCCCAGGGGGGAACACAGCCCACACAGCACCCACAGCCATGCCACCGCTGTGGCCACTTCCCAAATCCCTTGAGCCAGGAGCTGCCTTGTAGCTCTCCACCAGACCCCAGTGCCCTCAGGGAATATGACTCAAGTCTCTATATGCCAAAATACCACCGCTGGCCCTGGGATTGGGGACTTTGCCCCCACCCACTACCAAAAATTGAGCCCAAAGCCACTTGCACCAGCAGGACTTTGGCATGGCTCCTACCAGCATGACCAGGAGAATGTCATGGAGTAATGCTGGGGCAGGGAAATGCCAGTACCAGCCCAACCTTCACTCCATCCCTTTTATTCCAGCACCAAGAGCAATACCCAGTGAGGGCGGACCCGCGCCCTGGGGCAGGGGCACCCGCTCTTGGTGCTCTTGACTGTCACTGTTACCCAAAGGGGCACAGAGAGGAACAGCACTGGCCCCACTCCATGCCTTGGCTGACCCCCCCTGAGCAGTTAGGGGACACCGCAGGACTCCAGGGAGGAACACAGAAAATTTGGGAGCATATAAAAGGGTTCCCCAAGGCAGAGCCCACCATCACCATGCTGGAGGGCAGCCTGGTTCCTGCTGGCATACCCATGGTGCCCAGAGCGGACCTGGCAGCCGGGGGTAGCCAGGCGACCTTCCATCCCCTCTTTCAGGGTGCTGGGCTCTCCTCTGCAGCCCCCATATCCCATCCTCGCTGCCAGCAAGGCTGCTCCAGGGTGCTGGTGTTGGAGCTGGCAAAGTCTCAGCCTTTCTCCCTACGGCCTCCCCTAAGAGAGTGGCAGGAGGGAGCTGGAGAACAGCCCTCAGCCCAAAGGTCAGCCCAGCAGGGCACTGCAAAGGGCAGGAGAGGTGCAGGGAAAGGGGACAAGCGTCTCTTTTTGGCTGCAATAGAAAGTTTTAAATATGCTCATTAAAATAACTTTTTTAAAAAATCCTCCCCTAGCCCCAGCAGGAGGGGCCTCGATGTTGCTGTCCTTGAGGGTGGCCAAGGTCCTGAGAGGCGACGGAGCAAAGCCAGCATCCCCGGTGGCAATGTCCTCTCGTGGTTCCGCGGCTCCCCACCACCTGCCCTTACTCCAGCCCCAGGATATAGTTGATTCCCTGGACCAGTCCAATGATCACTGGCTGCCAGGCCACCAAGTAGCGCAGCCAGTCCAGCAGCTGCCCATACATGACGTGTGGCCTCTCCCAGCTGGGCAGGAAGGAGTTAAAGAGCCATGGGAAATGGAAGAGAGGAGCATAGCCCACCCAGAAGTGACCCAAAGCAGGGACAGAGAACACAGGTATCCAGGGAGGGATGGATAAGCACACAGGCAAGGACACACGAGTCCTCATGGAGGCTTGCCTTGCTTGTGTTTTGCCGGGTCTCTACCACAGCTGCATGCTGCAGCAACCTACCCAGGGTGCCAGGCAAGCCTCTTGCCCCTTGTGTGCTCTACCCACTGCTTCCCTTCCCAAAGTGCTGGCTCCCAGAAGGAGAAAGGATACGGATTACTGAACATCCTCTTGAGATCCACCTTCTCTTTGCAGTATGGACACGTCTGCTTCTTCCCAACAATGCACCAGCCCCGGATGCAGAACTCATGAAACCTGGGGATTGGCATGTTAAGGGGAACTGGAAGAAGAGGGGGATACATGGCTCAGTGTGGTGGAATCCACCAAGTCCACGGAAGTTCTCAGAGCCACAGAAACATCCTGCCATGTGAGCATGGTGTATTGCACAACCACAACCCTTTCCTAGAAGGTGCAGCAGCTTCCAGGGACAGCAGAAGTAGCTCATGGGGCAGCAGAATGGGGCCAGGGTGGAAGCACAAAGGCCATGACCAATGCATGGGCACCAGGGAGACTGAAACTCTTCAGTGATGGTGCTCAAGCACTGAGAAGGTTTGCACAGCCTAGGAGAGCTCTGTGAACTGCATGCATTTTGGAAGCCTTCTTGAAAGGCTTTCTGGAGATTAGCATTTAAGATACTTTTCTCTGAGTGAGGGTCTAACTTACAAATGCCTGCTATGCTCTCTCACAAGGATTTGCACTATCTGAGCACAGAAGTTACAGGAAACAGAGAAGGTACAGGAAAACATGAGGCGGCTGCAGCTGACTCTGACACATACAGGGGTGTCACTGAGCAAATAAACTTTCCCTAGAATATCTCTGCTGGTGAGACCGTGGAAGAATGCCAGGGAGCAGCAGCAACAGGAGTCACTTCCTTGTCAGCCCTGGAG